AACACACACACAAACACACAGACGAACACACACACAAACACACAGACACATACCCATCCTCCCACGCACACAAGCACCTTTATCACAGAGACAGGGAGGAAGCACTACATCCTGACAGATCTCTGTGCTCCTTCAGATGTATTCTCTTGTGCATTCCCAATTTTCTTCACCCCATATTGGAGGTCATGCTTTCAAGTTGGAAAAATCGTCCAAGTTGGTCAGAGAGGAGCTCCCTAACATCAAGAGGAGGAAAGTCCCATTTTCCAACCAAGTGCTGAACATTAAGATGGGATTGCCACCAGAGAGCAGCCAGGGGACCATTAACATCCTCATCATGATGCCAGCCCACCTCACTGACAGTCCAATTCTCCCGCCTGCTGAGGGTCACGGTGGTAACCTGGCAACCCAAGCCCACTGCTTCCTCTCCCCTAGGACCTCTGTCAGTCACAAACAATCTCAGGGCATGCTCCATGGGCACCGAATCGACGTACACACACAAACACACACCCTCCGTGCCCACCAGGAATGGCAATGCCAATCTCCCCCTGTCTGACATGTCTGAGCAATAGACAGGAACCGTGTAGGGCAGCTGTGCGCTGCCAGCCTCTGACCAGGTACATGACTGGGCTTTAAAGATAGCGCCAACAGCAGGAATCCTGGGAGGGGTGCCAGCAGTGGCCAGTACTCCTGCTCGTGGCAAGTGGGAGGATATGATGAGCAGGGTGCCATGGGGATATGGTACTTGGGTAATGAGATGAGTTTGGGAAGATAGAGCAAGAAAACTCACAAGGACCTACAGAGAGAATTCCCTCCATGAAACTCGCCAAAAATGAAACATAGCCAATTTCTGGATAGATTCAGCCATCAGATTTGGGTCCAAATGGGTGAGTGAATAGGATGATGGATTCCTGGGAATGAAGACACGGTTTGATTTAATCAACAGGTTGTGGTAATGTCGTGGTTACAATATATCGTGAGCCCAAGGTAACCCAGGTCCATAATTACCATCAAGTGCCATTTGGTTGGGGGTGAATTCTCTGTTGTGGTTTCTGCGAACATCAGTGATGTTGGTGAACCTTACGTTTGGACATATCCATTATCACACAGTTAACGACCTCGCTGATCACTCTAGAAATAATAGAAAGATGTGCTATGCAATTGGGTAAATAGGTGGACTCGGAAGAGGACGAAGAAAAGTGAGATCGCCAGTTTAAAACTTCAGGTGCACAGTCTACAAAATAAAATTTTAAAACTTTAGACATCATCCTGGAGGTAACAGGAACCTCAAAAACTGGACAGTGAAAGTCAATTATTCACGGGTAGATATACGGCCTTGCTGAGATGCCACCCCGAGTTGAACAGCTCCCCGAGACTCATTGTCCAGGACTCAGAGGTGGAGGACCTAGGTGAGATTCCAGAGGATGATTCGCCCCTGTAATTGTGGGGATGCTCAGCCATGTCGTGAGCAAGTTAAGCTCCTGTGTCAAAAAACTAAAGGGTGCCACACACTCCCAAATAAAAAGAAGAATAAGCGGGAATGTTGGTGGGTACATGTGAAAAGAAAAATCAGGAAGAAAGTTGACATCTTCAGAGAGAGTAAACAACAACAACAACTTTCATTTATGTAATACCTTCAATGTAATAAACCACCCTAATACGCTTCACATCAACATTATAAGGGAATATTCAGACCAGCAGTTTGGCAAGGGGCTATTAGGATGAGTGGCCAACGGCTTAGATAAGTTTTAAAAGAGAGACAGCTCAATCCCGTTCTCATCTGATGTCTAGGAACCCTGTCTGACTTGTTGCTGAGGCTCTTGAGCCACAGGTGCTGAAGCGAGATTATATTTCGCTGCAGTGATCCTAACTGATGCCCCATGGGCCCTGACCCTGTCTGAGAACTGGTCAATGGAAAGATGGCCCCCAGGGACTGTGGGGGAATAAGATGCAGGAGCAGAACCTGCCGCACAGCAGCTCAGCTTATCAAAACCTTCAACAATCAACCAGAGTCACCGACCAGCTCACCGAGGTAACAAATCCTGCAGAGGGCAGGAGAGCAGCAAGGTGAACCAGACATGCTCCAAAGTTTTATACAGAACACACACTTCTGAAAAGCAACTCCAATCTCATGTAGGGATTTAATGGCTTGGCTAATCAATGTTGGAAAACGTCATGGGCCCCATTAACTCCTCAGTGCTACATTAGCAAGCCAACGTCACAGTGCCAGGGTATAAATCAATGCCGAGCCCAAGTTGAGTACAGAGTTGAAACAGATGAGCTGGAAGAGGCATTCTGAGTCGAAAGTATGGAAGCATGATGTATTCTAATATAATGCACAGTTGGCAGCAGTGAAGCCCCAGAGCATTTGAATTGTGGGTTTGTGTTGGAGGTACACTAAGTGGAATTTTTAAAACAAAATTCTTTCATGGGATGTGGGCACCACTGGCTGGGTCAGCATTTACTGCCCATCTCTAAATGCCCTGTAGGAGGTGGTGATTGGCAGACTTCTTGAACCACTGCACTCGATGTGGTATAGAGACACTCATAGTGCTGTCAGGAAGGGCATACTTAGATTTTGACTGAGCAACAGTGAAGGTGTGGAAGTAAATTTCCGAGTCAGGATGATGTGGACTTGGAGGGGAACTCGGAGGAGGTGGTGTTTCCATGCATCTGCTGCCTCTGTCCTTCGAGGTGGTACAGGTCATGAGCTTGCTAGGTGCTGTTGAAGGGTTCTTGGTGAGGTCGTGCACTGTATCTCACAGATGGTACGCAGTGCTGCCTCTGTGTGCTGAAGGAGGAAGGAATGGTTATTTAATTGGTAGTTGGGGTGCTGGTCAAGCATGGGGCTGCTTTGTCCTGGATGGTGTTGAGCTTCTGGAGGGATGTTGGAGCTGCAAACATCACGACACATGGACAGTATTCAATCACACTCCTGATTTGTGGATGACACAGAGGCTTTGGAGGTAGTTACTTGCATCTCTTAAAGCCACAGAAGGCCATATATAAATAATATTACACATATATGACTGTTCCAGCTTATTTCAGCTTAATGGTATCTTCCATGTCCCACGCCATTGACAGGGACAGACTGGCCAGAGTCGGGGAGGAGAAAATTATCAGAGGATCAGGTGTTGCTCAGTGGATAATAGTCTGCCTTTGGATTTAAGTTCCACTCCAGGAATCTGAGCACATCATCCAGGCCAACAATCCACGTACACAGTAGAGAGAGTGTGCTGCGCTACCAGAGGTGTTACATGAAACATTAAACATCATCTCAGCTGCACGTCATTGATCCCACAGCCACACTATTTCAAAGAACAGTATTTTGGTGACTTGTGACTATTTATCCCTCAACTAACCTCAATTAGAAAACACTCGATAAGTGAATGTGTTGCTGTTTATTGGGAGGTTGTTGCACACAAACTGGCCATTGCCTTTCCTGCCACTGCATAGGGACTATATTTCCAAAGTTACTTAACTTGCTGTAGGGCACTGCTTCCTTGTCTTGAGAGTAGTGAAAGGACACTGTATAAATGCACTGCTGCAGAGAGTGTTGCAAAAGCAATGGCTCTAGACAACTGCTCAAGCTTCATGGTTTTAGGCTGGGGGAGCTGGGGCAAGGAGATGAACAGTGGAAGCGAATGTCAGATTTAAGGCATCCGCTTGCACTGTGGACCCAGCTCCAACGGGATGTGCAGGAACCCCGTCTGAACACATTTTCACTTTTGCTGCTGAGAAAGCTCGAGAGAGGAAGAGAGAGACAAGAACTCACAATCCGCCCCACCCACCACCTCAGCCGGCACTTGCTCTGAAACTAATACAGCAGGGGTCACTGTAAGATAGTGTGACAACCCCAGATCCCTGACGTGTTTATATTTTAAATCGGAAAGAAAAAGAAAAATCGTCAAATTGTGCGTTCCGGTGTAAAGGAGATGAAGTTCAGGAATGCAGACTGGGTGAGGTCAGTAGCATTCAAAAGCAGCTGGTCACTTCTGCCAGCCTGCCATCTCCAGCTAATGAAACATCCTTGGAAACTGTCTAAGCTGAACTGAAGGACACCACTAAAAGCAGCTAGCAGGCCACAGAGTCCCTCACCCTCCCCCTGCAGCCAGCTCCTCACTGTGCCCTCACCGCGCCCCCCCACCCCCGGCAACTCCCATCCTGCTTTCATTTACTATGCCCCTTATGTTTCTGCTGATTTACGACAGGAATTAAAACAGAAATCTTGAGAGAGACAAAGATCGCTGGGCAAGAAAATTGCAACTGTCTATGAGAAAATATTACGCTCAAAGGTCCTGTGTCCCCCAAGGAATTTTGAAAATTACAATCAGTGCCAGCTCCTCAACTGAAGTTGCCTACTTGAAATTCCATTCCCAGGGATCTTCCTGCAATCTTCCTTTGCAAATACTTGTCCGTTTGATTGCTTGTTTGCTTTCTGCCTCAATCGGCACTTGTAGTAAATAATTCCCATGGCAACAGTAACCTAAACCTCCATATCACCTTCAACATAATAATTTGTCACCAGGCACTTCATAGGGGTATTACTGAAGAAAATGCTACACAAAGGGGAGCACTGGTGTGGCGTAATGGTAATGTCACTGGACTAGTAATCCACAGGAATATTGCTTTGAGGAAAGAAAATAAAAGAAGCAGTTCTGGTCACCCTGCTAAAGCAAGGATATAATTAAATTGGAAAGGGTTCAGAAGAGATTTACCAGGATGTTGCTGGGAATGGAGGGTTTGAGTTATAAAAATAGGCTGGGACTTTTATTCACTGAAGTGTAGGTGGCTGAAGAGTGACCTTATCGATGTTTACAAAATCATTAGGGACAAGGATAAGGTGAATAGCAAAGGTCCTTTCCCTAGAGTTGGCGAGTTCAAAATAAGGGGCCATATTTTTGAGGTAAGAGAAGATTTAAGAAGGACATGAGGGTCAAATTTTTTACGCAGAGAGTGGTTAGTGTGTGGAATGAACTGCCAAAGGAAACTTTGGATGTGGGTACAGTTACAACATTTGAAAGACATTTGGAGAAGTACATGAATAGGAAAAATTTGGAGGGATATAGGTCAAACACAGGCAAGTGGGACTAGTTTAGTTTGGGAACATGGTCAGTGTGGAGTAGTTGGGCCGAAGGGTATGTTTCTGTGCTGTATGACTCTGACTCTGTAATTGCGGATGCTGGAGATCCGAAACAAACACAGAAATTGTTTGTGAATACTCAGCAGGTCTGGCAGCGTCTGTGGAGAGAGAAACAGAGTTAACGTTTTGAGTCCAGTGACCCTTTATTAGAATAGTTCTGACGTTCAGTTCTGGCGAAGGATCATGGGACTTGAAACATTAACTCTGTTTTCCTCTCTACAGACGCTGCCAGAGCTGCTGAGGTACTCCAGCCTTATCTGTTCTTCTTGCTTTGAGATCATGGGTTCAAACCCTAATATGGCAACTCTGGTAGAATTTAAGTTCAATTAATAATAAAAAGCTAGCCTCAGTGATGGTGATCGTGACAGCTATCATCGATTATCATAAAAAACCCATCTGGTTAACTAATATCCTTTAGGGAAGGAAATCTGCCATCCTTACCTGGTCTGGCCTACATGTGAGTTCAGACCTGCAGCAAGGTGGTTGACTCTTAACCGCCCTCTGGTAAAAGCCCTGTTTGAGGGGCAATTACGGGTGGGCTACAAATGCTGATCTTGCCACTGATGCCCACATCCCATGAAAGAATAAAATTAAAGTCACATCAGGAGATTAAAGGTCGGATGGTCAAAGGGGTAAGTTTCAGGGAGGGTCTTAAAGGAGAATGGAAAGCTGGAAGGTTTAGAGAGGGAATTCCAGAGGTTTGGTCCTCTGCAAATAAAGCCACAGCTGCCGATGGTGGAGTGGTTAAAATCGGGAATCTGCAAATCGAAGGAGATTGAAAGAGATCGGGTCGGGGGAAAGTCAGAACTTGAAGGGAATAGGGAAGGGCACAGCCAGGGAGGGATTTGGAAACAAGGTGGGAACTTAAAATTTCATGCTCTCATAAACCTACC